GGGTTCTGGTCGGGTTACTTATAGCTCTCAGGGTTCTGGTTTGCTTACAGCCTGCTCCCTGGGTTCTGGTCTGCTGGCTCATTTTGCTCTCAGGTGGTAGTTCCGGGCTGGTGGATGGACTGACCTGCACCAGTCTTCTCGGGCTCAGGTGAATGGTTCCATCAGTTCCATTAGTCTTCTGCAATCACAGTCTGGACTTAATCCTAAAACTTCTGTCTGGACTATGTGTTAGAGAAAAAGAGATGAAAATAAACATTTTTTACTTCGGCACTCTTTTCTGAGATAGAATACTTTTTTTAAATGCTGAGATTTTGCCCAAATTAAAGATATTGATTCACTGCTAAAAGCTTAGAAGAGCTCATAGCGTTGTGCCTACCAAAGTAATAAATTCAACTGGTATCATACTAATAACAGACAAGAATTTAAGTGACAAGAGCTATAAAAAAGCATATCAATATGAAAATGGTATAGGTGCCATAATATGGTGACAAAAAATGTGGTAATAGCCTAAAGGTAATGAGGTCTTATAGTTTATGCATCCATACTATTTGTGTTGGCCTCAACCTACTTTCAAGATGTCCTAAAACAGATTAAAAGGGGGTGATTACCATTTCACAGTGCTGATATGCATCCCTTAGGGTCATATACAGAAATGCAACAGTAGCATATCTTTGAAATTCTTTCTAAATTTAGGCCGAAACTTGGTATCCCCCTTTCTGAACTCATAACATCATTAAGTTTCTGTAATGTCTGATTCTGCTATGTTGCACACAATTACTGTGTGCTTCAAACAAACCGGCTTTACTGCTCACATGGAAGCATATCCAGATCCATTTCCTCCCCAAAATTATACAAATATTTTTCTCTTAAATATGGGTAGAAAAAAAGGAAGCGTTATTAGCATCTGAGTTGGCCGCTGCCAGTCTTTGTCCTGTCTAACACTGCCCTCATGTGGTCAGTTAGCATGCTAACTGTGGGAAGTAACGCCTTTAATAGCTGACCTGCTCGTGCTGTTTCACTTTTTTCTTCTTTATTTGTTAATTAGATTGTTTCTGCTTCCTTTCACTCTCCAAAAACATGTGGAGCTGTTAGGAGACTTTGCAGTGCCCCTGGGGGTGTGTTGGTTGTGAGTCTCTGTGTGGCCCTCTGATGGATTGATGACCTGTCCAGGGCATACCCGCCTCTCTGGACAGAGGGAACGTGCAAAGTACATGACATTTAAAAAGTTTGTTAAAGAAAGACACATGTTAAACATCTTTACTATCAATTCCAAACTAGCAGCTCCCAATAAGACTCCAATAAGGTTTATTCAGACCGGTTGCAGTGAGAATTGGTACAGTAGGTCATTGACCATTGGTCTGCCCATCCTTATTTTTTAATTCAAGATATGATGGTAAACATGTCACACAAAAACACAAGTCTGAGTTTTAGATGTGTTCAAATACTGTATGAAACACCAGCTAATACATCATTTAGAGGCCAGATTTTGTAGTGTCCTGAAGTACTTCCACACCTGATTCTGATTCAATTAGATCTCCTCTGGTCCTTGATGAGCTTTGCTAGTGGCACTTTGATGGGAATCAGATGTGATGAAACAGGGACACATCTAAAACCTGCAGAGAAAGGATTAGGAAACTGTACCCGGCTAGTATTTTGTGGCAGAACTGTATCTGTAGTATCCACATCTAATCCATTATCTCTTTGAGGTAGATTGCTTCTGTGTCTTTTGATGTCATGGGCTCAAGCAGGTGAAAAACTGGGACAGAAAAAAATACTTAAAAGGCAGTTCACCTGTTAGGAAGGATAACTTTGGCAGATGGAGAGTGGCTGACAGTTAATTGACAGCATGGGTTCATTTTTCAGCAGGGTCAGGCCTGTTCGGGACTTTAATAGGAGACCTACTGTAGAATATTGTCTGAAGAGAACCTTTCCATGTCTCCATCCAGGCTGCAGGGGGCACTGCTGCTCCGTTGGTTAATTTGGTCTCAGAACTCCCTTCACATTGGAAGGAAAGGACTGGAAGGATTCTCCATTTTCATGTTTTCTCTGCAGCTGTAAATGATCACTCAAACCAATCCTGGCCTCTCCTTTAGGCCACTCTGTGATGTCCTCTGACCAGGGTCACTTCATCTGTCTGAATTCTGCTGGATGACAAAACAGACACAAATGGTATATATCCTCACACTAGTTTGCTGAGTGCTGGTAGATGGTCATGCGGTCTAATCTGATTTTCTTCTCGCCCAAAGTCCCTGTAAATTCTAAATTAAAAAAATATATCTGCGGACAGTGATGCATTTCACAGTCAGATCAGCATATAAAACACATACTGCTCCTTCATGCTCTGTTTGTGCCACCAAACAGGATCTGCCGTGGAACAAGCCTCGATTTTCACACTCTGACGGTCAGTTGACGACAGAGTGACCGCAATTCCAGGTCTCAGACGAATCTGTGTCATGTCCCAGTCTGTCCTCCTCTCAACATGGTGGAGTTGGTCAATTCTCCATCTTCACATCAAGACAAAAGGCAGCAGACTCAATTGTTTTAGAAACATTATTTGGTTCTTAAAACTGTGATTTGGGTTCATTTATTGGTTAGAACACTTTTTTTCTGTGGCTTTACTGTTGGATGGAAAGAAACTAAAGACAGATTAACTCACAATTCAAAGTGTCAGCCAGTTTCATTTGTATAATATGAGGCAAATATAACACACTGGTATGATACCTTAAACTTCTAAGGTTGGAAGAGGTAAAGTTTCCTGATCATATTTGCCATCCACAGTGAAAATGATCCAAAATGGACTCAGATTAGTTTTTTACTACATATTTTATTTGGAGAGTATATGTCAGCATTGAATTAAGACTCATCTGGTTTTGATTCAAACGTTACCTGAGTGACAAAGCACGAAGCATGGCAGCAGGTCCGTTTTCTGGCTCACTGCATCAGGAATTCCTGGTGAAAACACAGCAGGAGAAACCTGCTACTCACACACCCGAAGAGCGAGGTGAGTGTGTGTCAACACGACAGAGTTGAGTAAGTGTTTTGTTCGTTTATTTCTTTCATTTTTACATAATTAAAATAGAGGGAATTTCCACTTTTCCTGACACTGTATACTTACTGTCAGCCAGGATGTGAAATGTTTGTTTATGATGAAACACTGGAGATAATGTTGTTCATGCACTTTAACCTTAAGCATGCACTTTGACTTTAACAAAGTTTTCACAAGCCTTTGGGAATACACTGGGACTGAGACTATACTTTCATCCTCGCTTGCATGTGCAACACTAAATACTTTAGTCCACACACTTCTGTTAAATGAGCCCCACTTCAATCTCACAACCACAGTTTAATGCTTACACCAATACATGGGATTAAAGCATATAACCTATATTCACTTTCACTCAGGTTTCATCCTTTAAGTGGCTTAAAGGCAAAGCAGGATGTAATATATGGCCTTGGTGTCCTAAAAATGATGCTTAATGCTTTATGACACAATGTGTATTCCCACAAAGGAGTGACAGATGATTTGCTATTGTGTGTTTAGTCTGTGGAGGTTAAAAAGAAGTTATGGCCTAAAGCGTTTAATTAAGTCCTTTAATACCAACTCAAATTTATTCATTGTGAACTTAAATGTTTCTGGAGTATTCTAGGCCGCACCAGACATCGGTTGTTGGTTGAGAATGTACTTTTGAAAATATGTGAACGTCAATATTTTCTTATCTGAGCTTTGTCGGGAACCAGGAGCAGCTGACACGGCCTAAAACCTACACCAAATGCTGACAAAGTGCCAAACTTTCACCTGCGGCTTCATGACACATCAGAACTGTGCAATACGACGACTGGTCAACCATGAGCCGACATGTATACTTTTCTCCTATAGCCCAGTTTGAGTTGGAGCGGGAAGCGGTTCAAAATCAAAATCTCTGGCGGAAGTTGACGGCGACGTCCGCCGGAAGTGACGTAGCATTAGCTTGCAGTGCGCTGCGACGGTGTTTTAGCTCCACTGCAGGTAAATATCTGAGTCTAAGGAGGAGGGCAAACATGTCTTCGTTCCGGCCCTGGAGAGACTTTATCCGGCAGCGGCTGACTGCCGCCGGCGAGGAGACGTTCGCGGCCTTCGAAGATAAGATCGTTCAGTTTGAGGAGCAGATCTCCCATCAGCGCAGGAAGCTGGACGCCGTCCTGATTCCCGATGTGAGGGTACCCAGAATAGGTGAGTCTAAAATGTTCCAACAAAGCGTTATAAAGCATGTTACCTACGAAATGTTCGAGTTGGGGTTTTAATTTGTATAACATATCAGGTTAACGGAACTTCGTGCATTTGTCTGGTTGAGAAAAAATAGCTGAATGCACCGTTATTTATACAATATGTTGAATAGGCAGCGAGACCAGGTTTGATTAGGGAAGAGTTTGGAAGATGCACGAAGTGGTGGCTTATGGGAAATGGAGGCGGCGCTGTTTGGATGCGTTGTAACCCTCTTATCTGAACCCTTTTTTCCACAACTCCTAAAATCAGTGCAGGGGGTTATCAAGCCTTTAGACTCCATTTAGCGGAAACATGGCTGTTTCTTCCTTTTTGTTTATCAAAGGTTTAGTTTAATAACTGTGCCCCCAAATCTGTTTATGGGGGATATCAGAATTAAGCACAAGCTTTCATGTTACCAAATATATAATCTGTTTTTTAATTTTCTGTACTGGGTTAATCCAATTTGGGGTCACGTGGATAGCCAGGCCTACTCAAGCTGCCATTGCCCCAAAGTGGGGTCCTCACATTGTTTATTTGAAGCCCTCCTCTTCCTATTTGAAGTATCATTCTTTGTGCAGTAGTACATTTCTTTAAAGGCGCTTATGGATAGCGTCAGGTCTATAAAAACGCTGTTAAACCTCTCGGTATTCAAAGTAGCAACTTTTAAACGGCTTTAGAAGTACACATTTCTGTAGTTTTTTAGTTGAAATAAGCATAGGTTAACCATAATTGTGCGTTTAGACCTGTGAGTGAGTTGTGAGGACTATAGAGATCAGCAGGAACCTATATGAAGGTAGTGACTGTTGTGCATTCACCCTCCTTTCAATGTTTGTGGTCATTCCATCAACTTTCCCTTGTTGCAAGTGACCTAATTGTATTATGTATTTTTATAAAGAAGGTTGGTTTGGGTTTTTTGTCTTTCAGATATCCCACAACAACATGACTTTAAAGAGGAAGAGGCTCTGCCTGATCAGCAGCATCTGGATCCAAAGCTGATGAGCATCAAAGAGGAACCGGAGGACCCGTGCACCAGTCAGGAGGGCGAGCCGCTCTCCCGGAGCAACAAGGTGTTCACCCGTATGAAGGCAACTACTTCCGGAGAAAGCCAGATGGATAACGAGCCGGTAAAACACGGCACCTGTAAAAAAGCCCCTTTGAAGAAATGTCAAATCAAGGAGCGTCAAGGAACCCACACTGGTATGAAGAGACATTTTTGTAAAACATGTGGCAAAGGTTTCTCAAGCAAGTCAGGCCTCCTGACCCACATGAGAATTCACACGGGCGAGAAGCCGCACTCTTGTACAGTGTGCGGGAAAAGTTTCAGCTGCCACGCCACCGTCGTGCTCCACATGAGAACGCACGCGGATTAGAGGCCGCGTCCTCGGGAAGTCTGCGGGAAAAACCTTCAGACGCAGCGACAATCTGTTGCTCCACAGGAGAACCCACACAGGGGGGGAAGCCCTACCGTTGCAACATACGCGGGAAAAGGTTTGCTGACCCCTCAGGCCCCTGGCAGTCCACAAACTCAGCAACACCTGGCTGTGCCGCATTAGGTCTCGCACACATGTGGGAACAGATTTGTTAAAGTGTCGAAGCGGCGGCAGCACATGAAAATACACTCGGACGAGAAACCTGACGTCTGTGAAACGTGCGGGAAAAGATTCATTCTGAGAAATCTGAGGCTGAGAAATCACATGAGGATTCATACACAGAAGCCCTACCCCCACAGAGACTCCAGCTCTGCCTCCGCTTTGAAAAGTCACATGAAAACTCCCACTGGCGAGAAGCCGCAGTCCTGAAACATCTGCAAGGTGGAAAATGAGAACGTTTTTTAGAATTCCTGGTCAAGTTAGAGCCACCAAATGTCACCTGATCACAGCACAGAATGTGAGCGAGGGTTTTGATCTGTTATGAGTGCTTATTTGATATTAGCCTAATAAGTTGTTTAGCTTTATGCGAGACTGTGCATTACGTTTAAAGCATAGTTCTATTATTATGACAAGACTGTTCATGTTCCAAAATTGTGTGTAGATTGTTCTACATATTTCTTTTGCAAACCTATCTTCTTAACACATTTTTTTCCTCTTAGTCCACCTTAACTGTATTACTATTTTTGTTGTTATTTTTCTAACTACAGTAACTTGAGGGGCGAACCTTCCCAAAGACTTAAGTCTTCTTTCTATTTTTGTATTTCATGATTGCATTATTTTGATTAACTTTGTTGTGCAGGTGCTTACAAACTTCGAGAGCTGTTCTGTACACTGTGCTGTATACACTAAAATAAACGGCTGTTTGTTAAGAATATTGATTTCGATATTTCCTTTTCCAAAATGCAACCCAAGCTAAAGGTTGAAATGAGCTCATTCACATTTTGCAAGTTAAGGAACACTCTTTTTATGGGGGTGCTGCATAACTGGGCTCTTTTTAAGCCGCTGCCTCTGGTGTCAAAGTGAACTACGCCTTGAGTTGGAAAATTTGCAGAATTCTTGCTGATGATTATTCATTCGAATAATTGCAATTAAAGATGATTGTCTTCTGCCTCATTTTCTGTGACAGAGCTGTATACAGTCCATCACTTGATTACTTGCCCGTGTCATTTTCTAAGTGATTACTACATTTTCAAATGTCAAGCCTGCAAAAAATCAAAATATTAACACTATGTCTCTCAAGGTGGGTACATAAAGAATGTGTTTAATTCTCAACTTAAAAATAAAAAAAGAATATATGCAGATTTCTGTCTAGTCCTTATTGGATTATCAGGTAAAAACAATCCTCAGATAAACAATAATGAATGTCAAATGTAGAAAATATTTTAAAAAAAACAAATCAAATCCAGCTGTTCTGTCTGAATAAAAGTGCTAAGTAGCAGCCAGGTGCTGCCAATGAAATTTACTCGACGCATTGATCCTCAGTGAGTGTGAGCAGCTCATTAAATGTGACGTACTGGATGTCCATCAGTCCACAGAGTGAAAGATGAGTCCCACATGGAAAACATCCAGGACTGTTGTCAATCTTTATCTAAAACCTGAAGGTGAGTGTGTTCAATGTTTAATGACATTAACAAACCTAAGCTGCCTGTCGGACTCCACAAGCATCGGTGTGCTTGTTAAAGGTTAAAGGTCAGCTCAGTACAGCTAGAAAAGTACATGGCAGCAGGGTTTAGCTTCTGATAGCAGCTGTCCGCACGGCGGGGGAGGGATGGTGATGTGGGCCGCTCTGCAGCATCAGGAGCTCAGGAAGACACGGAATTCCCCATCCCTGTTCATCTAAAGATTAACTCAGGAAGGACTTCTCAAATTAAATGAGTTGGACAAACATTTAATTTCCCTCTGGGATAAAGTGTTTTTAATTTAATTCAATTGATCGAAAGAGCTTTGTATTAAGTCCCGATAAGTCCCGATATATAAAACCTTCTTTCTTTTATGTGCTGCTTTAAGTGATGTTGGGCTGCTGCCCAACTGTTTACAGCTGTCAAATAAAGAGTTTGATTTGTTGGTACTTTTTTAATTAAAAAGATAACATGGAAATGTTTTCATTGCAGCAGGTGGGGGTCAGAATTTCACTGAGATGTCCAGGAGAACTCAGATGAGCGAGACTGCCCAAAAGGCTGGAAATGATTTTAATGTGTGTCTGAGAGTGGGAGGGGTTCATCATTTCTGGGAAAACCTGCAAGCCCCAATATGGGACTTTTTTTTTTAACATTCTTTATCTGAATTGTGTGTTGGGGAATTTATCAACCATAGCTAATTATCTGAAAAGATCTTTTAAATAATCCAGTTCAATCGCAGGTCGAAGAAATAACTGCAGGCTAAAAACCACAGCCAGTAAACAAATGCAAGCTGAAGTCTCAGTGATGTTAAATGAAAATACTCTGTTGTCTCATAAATGAAAAGAAAAATAATATGACTAGTATTTGTTTTGGAAATAATGGACACTACATTCCCAATTCATAACCAAACAGGCTAAAATGTCATCAGTCCCTCTGTGTCCATCTATCCAACTATTCATCCATCAGTTCTTACATCCATCTGTCCATCCATCCGTCAGTTCATCCATTTATCAGTTCATTCATCGCTCAATCCATTCATCTTTCCATCCATCCATCCATAGATCCACCCATCGCTATCATCCATCCATCCATCCGTCTATCCCTCCATCCATCCATCCATCCATCCATCCATCCCTCCATCCCTCCATCCATCCATCCATCCCTCCATCCATCCATCCCTCCATCCATCCATCC